CATATATACGGTACAATAACATCATATAAAGAGAATGAATGGGGAGAAGGTACTATAATATATGTGATATAGTATAATACATGTAGTTCGGTAAGAGTAAAAGTTTCCTCACATAACGCATAACAAAAGAGTCCAAAGTATAACATATGGAAAATGAAAAACATGATGCATGTATAAAGAAACAGGAACCCAGCTTGGTGGTACATATGCACACTTACGTAATGTGTATTCGAAATGCATTAATACTATACCAATGTATACAGTTGAAAATATAGGCAAAAGCTAACAACACAACTCACGTAAATAATCATGTATGTTGCATATTATGACTCATGTACAATATGAGAGACATAGACATGAGACTATAACATAACTAGTATAATTCATATTATGACATGGAACTATAACATATTATGACTAAGTTGGACAGTACAATCAAAATTTGCATCAAAAACGGACCACATATTACTATATTATATGCCATATAGTATAATTCATGCAGCACAAAACACCATATGATTCTATACGATACATAACTAGTATAGTATAGTCGAATGGAAACAAATAATTTGTTTATTTGATTATGTTATGTACAAGAAGTAACCACACTGAAGTTTATCGGTTGGGACAATGTGTTAACTGCCGCCATAAGAAATAAAGTCTACAATTAGTAAAATTACAGAGATCCCAAATGGTGAAATCTAATATAGAAAAATGGTATATAAACTAAATGTTGCGTATGCCAGTTTCCATTTATAATATATTAAAAATGTAAAAGTATAGTAATGAAAGTTCTTTGCTATGTCACAATATAAACATATTTCATTGTTGCATAAAATACATAAAAGACTAATATCTAAAAACGTTACTATTATACACTAACCATTAAATAGTCTAGGATTTAGGATTGAGTTTAGTATCCAATTGTTGGAATGTACTATAAATGAGTTAATAAACAAACAATAATGCCATGTAAAAGGTAACTTTTATGTAAATATAAGTTAACTAAAGTTGGACGGTACTATATATGAGACATATATATGGAACTAGTACATATATGGGCATGAGGGAGAAAAAAATTAGTATACTATATGTGATGTATAATAGTCCGACAAAGTGGTTAAGGAAAAAAAATTTCATTCAACACAACCCGAGAGGTTCCAGAGTTTGTGGTCAGAGGGAAAAGGAAAAACTTATGATTGTATGATGAAAGAGGCATCCAGATTGGTGGGACGTATGCGTACTAACGTAATGTGTATTTGTATGGCATACATATTATACTATTGTACACAAGAGCTAGTATAGAAACTATAACATCCAACCTCCTTTAGGTAAAGGAAGATATGAAATTGTAAATAGCAAGGTTAAATAAATATTAGTCTGTATGTAGGTAAAAGTGTAGAGCATAATTTGTCTGACCTGCTACTCTACAACCATCATATCTCCAGCTGCGCTTCAGAATGTACGTCTTCTATCACTTTAATCCATCTTAAATTGAAATAATTGTTAATTATTTTCCGGCCGGTGGTTCAAAACCAGTCTCAAACAAACACTCTGGCAAGCCAAACTCCTCTATAATATCTCAACAATAGTTGCCTACAACCATATATGAACAAGTTTGGTTGTGAGTATATATAGGAAGTGTAACAGAAGCAGCATAACCATAACTATAACAATTTACCAATAGTATAATCACAGTTAAGTGTCACTAACTCAGAGTGAACACTAGTAATATAGCTTAAAAAATTTATATTTATGCACTAAACATATGTGTTTTATACTAAAAACAGATAATTATCTTCATCAACTAATGCATATAGCACAAACTACGTTATATACATAGTATAGCCATATTAAAGTGATAGGGATCTAAGCATCGCCTATAATCAATAGGTAATCTACTTCAAAAGCGACTATAGTAGAGGAAACATTGCATGGTAAATGGTTAACAATTTATATGTTGGCAGTAAGCTTGTATGGCTATACTATAAACAATGTAATGATAGTAATTATCTTCTTAACTGTAGTTGCATGCAATCCATATATAAACAAGTTTGGTCGTGAGTATCTGTAAGAAGTGTAACAGAAGCAACATAACCGTAAGTACAACAATTTACGAATGGTATAGTCATAGTAAAGTGACACTAACACAGAAAAAGCACTGAAAATGTATATTAAACCGTTTATATTTTCGCACCAATTACGTTCTATTCATCAACGAATCTCTGTAACACCAATTACGTTCTATTCTATAAACATTTACACATAGTATAGTCCTATTAAAGTGTTAGAGATATATGCATCGGCTATAATCAAATTAGCAATAGGTAATCTACATCAATTGCGACTATAGTAAAGGAATCACTGCATGGTAATGGTGAACGGTTTATATGCTTCCAGATGACTTATATGGCTATACTATAAACAGTTTAATGATAGTAATTATCTTCTTAAATCACTGTATATAGAACCGACAACGTCCTATACTATAAGGATTAACCGATAGTATAGCCATAGTCAAGTGACACTACAGCTCAGGAAACAATGAAAAGAAATAGGTACCAGTTGACATCACGACACTAAACCTATAGGCCTATACTCTATAAACAATACAATAATAGAAATAATCTGCATAATTATTGCATATAGTACCACCAACATTTTATAGGGAAATATGGGCTCCGTATCTTGTTGAATCGACTAATAAGGGAACAACAAATCGGTGTTGCCTTGCTTAAGTAGATTGTACCGATATCTGGACCTGTCTAACGGCGAATCTAACTATTCCGGCGGAACCCTAAACGCGTAATCCACTTCTTCCCGATTCCAACCAAAGCACCTGCTTCTTTCCGATGTCAGTGTATCGAACTCCTCCTCGCAATTGAACTAACAAATTCAAGTTATCAAAATTATTTGGTCGTAATCGTTCTTCGTCGGATATTGTAAGCGAGAAAGTATTTCTGAAGCTGTTATGGCTATGCAAACTTTAAGATTATAGTCAATTTCCTTTCTACGCGAAAGAGAAGGGTATTTTGGCCAATAAAGCAAATATTTTATATCATATCATAACCATCTCTTTCTTATGGTTATGTACTACATATTTTCGTGTGTTATGGTTATTACTTCAAATTACCCTTATAAAAAAGTATAAACTATTGTTTCGGCTAAACTTCCTGGACCGATTTCCAAATCATGGTATATAACCAGTCATATATATATAGGAAAATTTGCCAAATGTGACTCAAAAATTGATTTTAAATGAAAAATTATACTCAAACATCAGTAAAATGAAAAAATAACCCAAATTTAATTTCGGAAAGTCTTTTGAGATATCGTAGGTCTTCTGGAAGACGTATAGGGAAGTCTTCTCATATAGTTGATCTTCAAAATAATTTATAAATTTTATAAACAATATTTTGATACGAGAAAAATTAAATCATGTAACTATAAACAGTTGTAAGTGATATAAATTAAGATATAATAAAATTGAATTGTTTTCAATGTATATAAGTGAAACTAGTGAGACATGATATTCTTTGGTTTAGGGTTTGACAATATATGTTGTAGTAATGTATGTATTAGGGGCATTGCCCCCACGCAAGTGCGGGGATGTGGATGGAGTTCTTGTTTCATCTCATTGTTTGCTAGGGTAAATGTAGTTGTGAAGTTTGCGCTTTAGGTTGGTCATTGTTTTTTAAGTTTTTTTTTATAGTTATAGGGTTAGAGTTGTGATGATGAACTGTGTAGGTATTGTTCTCCAATTATGAAAGACTAAACTATTTTAGTATTATGATTATTATAGTTTGTGGTGTTGCTTGTTGTGTCACTAAGACTTATTGTTTATTTGTATTTTTAATTGTTTCTTGTACTATTGAGAGTACATAAATTATATTAAAGTTGTTGAGAGTACCTTTTGTTTCTAAATATTTTTTTCTCTAGTTTAGTTGTGTGTATTAAGAAATAATTTTTATTATTCTTATTCTTTTGTTATATTTTTTTTTTATTTCGAAACTTGTCGCTTTTACATGATCTTAAAAACAAATACACGAAGACTTGTAGATATAACTATGAAATGAGTGACAACTCAGAGTATTTGGGCCTTAATGAATTTAAACAAATTTATAAATTTCTCATAAGAAGACAGTAGCATTGGCATGTTGACATTGGGCATGTAAGCTATTTTCATTAACAGGAGTGAGCAGGTGGAGATGTTATTGCCGCCTTTGTGTCTGTCAAGATTGTCTCTTGTATCTCTTGGTATGCTTGTGTCTGTTTCTCTTTTATTTGATGGGTAATATGTAAACAAAAATTATTGTTAGTTGTACTTATCAGAGATCGTAACTTACCCTTCTTTTTGGTTTAGATGATTTCACTGATCTTGGTTGCCGTATTTGTCTTCTTCGTAATCATCTGCAAAAGTAAGTTTGTAAATTGTTAAATATCTAGCCATGTAGTTTGTATTAGTTTAGCTGACTCGATTATGTTTCGTTGAGTTATAGTTGAGGTGATTGGTTTGGTATATTTTTTTGAAGTTTATTTGTAAGATTTGACAAAAAAAGAGGTGAACGTTAATGATTCGCCTTTTTGGGATTTTAGTTTTTGGTGTTTTGATTGTTTGGGTTGCTGTGGTTTTTTTAAAAAAATTTAAAATAAAAGTTTGTGTGAAACTAGTTTGATAAGTAAGGGAGATAAATAGACGACCACAGATCTTGGGTAGGAAACATTTTTAATCAGTGATGTTAGCACCATATAGATAATAATATGAAGGAAATGTGTCTTATTTGTTTCTAATGGGTCAATGAGGAGAAGGACAACGATTCAAGTTTTTTTTTTTGGTGAGGTCAGAGCCCTGAACAAAACGGATTTTCCCAACCACATCTGCGATTTGAAATACCACTTATGATATCGAAACATAATGTAAACCCAGCTGAAATATGATAATATACCTGGGAGTTCTAGGTTTGTGTTCGTAAGCATTTGGAGATTGTCGAATAGCCTAATCATGACTGGAGATTGATCTCATGAGCACCTGTGATGATTTCATCAGTAATGGTTGGTGGGATGAAACGAATGAGGAATGAATGATCAGTTATTGTGTACATGCTTGAGCACCTAGCAACCTCAAAACGATCAACTTTCATAATGGAACCGACTTTCAAATATGACATGTAATGATTAGCACGTCTGGCGGGAATGAACCCATGAGTCATGGAATCTGCAAATAATATTATTCAACAAAGAATCAGGAAATCAATTAAAAATAATTATGTTAAATAAATGTGATAGATCGAAGATTAACTTACCTTTTCATAAAGGAAGAGAATCGTGATTTCCATAAACTCACTGCGTTTCTTGAAATTCAGCGAGGCCTAGAAGCTGGAGAGGGGAGCGACTATGCTTTGACTGATATGACCATGATAGAGAGACTTGAAGGTTGAATGACGGATGCCGGTGACGCTGGTTTTAGGAACTGGAGAAGCAGAGAGAGACATATTCTAGAAGATGGTTAAATCTAAGAGGAATCGATGAGTTTTGTGGAGATGCAGATTGGGTTCATCAAAAATGAGAGTCATATATATAGGGTTTACAGAGGGGCTACAAATCAGGAACATTTATGATCAAGCAATGTAAGATGGGGAGATAAAGAGTCACCGGTGAAAAAATAGATTACGAACAGACACACGGTGCAGCTTTGTAACTCAGACATGTCTGAGACGATGATGCAATGAATCTTAACTCATGTTAAAAGACGATGGTTTACAATAAAGGAAAATTATAACTGTTGTAAACTTGAGGATTTTCTTCATATAACGTGATGAAGCCCAATTAAAAATGAAACTCATAATACACTTGCAGGCATGACCTTCAAAGGAAGCCAAAAAAGTAAGGACTTCCGACTTTCATAAATATATATTAGTTTCAACCACCAATGTACAAGTTATCATTTAGTTTAGTGGTATAAATGTTAGTGTTTGTATCTTAATAACCTGGGTTTGAATCATGAGTTTGACACTTTTTTCACATTTTTTAAAGTGGGACCCATCTGATGCTGAGGTGGAGCACTGAAGAGTCTTGAAACTTAACCCTTATAATATAGATTCTTAGGGTTATATTTTGGAAGCTTAACCTTTTTTTTTTGAAAAATAAATTTTGACATATATGTGTTTAGTTTTGTGTATATTAAACATTTTTTAAAGTTTAATAAAGAGTTTGTTTCTATTTAGTTAGTTATTTGAGTAGGGTTTATATTTAGGGTCTAGATGACTTCCATGAAGTCTTCTGGCATTTAGTATTATCGGTTAGAAGACTCTCTGAAAGTCTTCTAAATCTTGCTAAAAATATTTTAGTTTCCCGCTAAAAATATTGTAATTTCCCGCTTAAAATATTGAAGTTTTCTGGACGAATAGTAAGTCTTCTAGGAAGTTTTCGATTAGAAGACTTATTTGAAAGTCTTCTGAATTGAAAATATTTGACCTTATTGGAATTTTGTTTCTCTATATATATAAACAAAATTTACACATTCTCTCTCTTTCTTTCAAATGGCTGCAACAAAAATGTAATGTTTCTCATTCTAAAACTCTCCAACCTCTCTATAATCTCTTTGAAATAAAAAACATCAGATTTTATACCAATTTACTTTTATTTCATGTCTTCTAACTGGTTTATTTTGTTTTTGCAGATTTTTCATTACAAGTTTCCCATCTTCCACTCTTTTAATGGTAGATCTATAAATCATATTAATATTTTGTTGCTTAAAAATCTTACCTTTTGAGATTTTTTTTGGTTTTTTAAGCTATTACCTTTTTTTTTTTAAGTTTTCTATGTTTTGAAACCATTTTTAATGCTTTTGGATATGGAGATTTTTCAGATCTGAGACAGACTAGGAAGATTTTCAAGCTTTTTAACATTTAATGTACTAGAAAACTTCATGTAAGTCTTCTGGAAGACTTCTGACGGAGTCTCCTCCCATTTCTCCTCTGTCATTACAAATCTGAGTGTTTTGATAAGTTTCTATGTCTGATTTTCTTCATTTGGTAACCTCTGGTTGCTTAAAGCTCTTATCTTTTTCACAATTTATCATTTTATAAAACACCAAACTTGATATCAATTTATTATTTTTTTGTCTCAAGTCATTCTCATTAGTTCATCTTGTTTTGTAAGTTTTTTATTACATGGTTCTCATCTTCCACTCCTTTAAAGGTAGATCTATAAATTATATTTTTTTTAGTTGGTAACCTCTTGTTGCTTAAAACTCTTACATTTTAAAAACTCCTTTGGCTGTTTTAAACTCTTACCTTTTCTATATTTTGAAGCCATTTGAATGTTTTTGGATATACAGATTTTTCAGACCTGAACAGACTTAGAAGACTTCCCTGGAAGTCTTCTCGTAAGACTTCTAACATTTAATGCACTAGACGACTTCCAGGGAAGTTTTCTGAAATTCTTCTGGAAGTCTTCTAGCAGAGTCTTCTCCCATGTCAAGTGGATTCCAACCTTATCTTTGTGGAGGAATGATCTATAATAGTTTTGTTTATAGTATGTTTCGTGATTTGTATGTGTACTTTTTAGTTGTGAATTCTTTTGTAAATTTGAAAAGATATTAATGAAAAAATTTGGTAAATATTTTCATGTCTACAATATTATCTTTTCAAAATTACTTGAAATTATTGAAGTTATTGAAATTCAATAGAAAAACACAATAACACAAAAATTTAATCAGATTTATTACAACTATGGGAAAAACATTCTCAAGAAAACTTAGTCAAATTCCCAAAAGATCAAACATTACAAAAGTTCAAAGATAGAACACTTTCACTAAAGTTTGATCTTAGAAAGTTGTCAAAAAGGTCATCTTTACAATTGAAAATTTACAAGGGAAGACTTCACTCTTCAGCAGACTTATTTGGAAGTCTTTCTTTGTAAATATTGGCTTACTTTTGTTTTCATTTTTTTTCGAAAATCCCAGAGAAGACTTTCCTGTAGGTCGTCTACGATAAACATGTTAGTTTTGCATTTGACCATATTCTGTCAGAAATTTGACTTTTTCTAGATGACTTACACGGAAGTCGTCCATAGAAAAATAAAACTTCAATATTTAATTTATGTTAGACGACTTCCATTGAAAAATAAAACTTAAATATTTAATTTGATCAGAACGACTTACATAGAAGTCGTCTGTAATAACCATGGTTTGACCATAATCTCGGAATAAAATCCTTGAGGACTTCTATGTAAGTCGTCTATTGGAAGAGACCTACATGTAAGTCGTCTGGATAAAATTAAATATCTAAGTATTATTTTTTAATTGCAAAAGTAACCCGAGATGACTTACATGGAAATCGTCTACCAAAAATTAAATATTGAAGTTTTATTTTTCTTTTGACGACTTCCCTATAAGTCGTCTAGAATGTGGTCAAATGCAAAACTAACATGTTTATCGTAGATGATTAACATTGAAGTTTTCTCTGAGATTTTCGAATTATTTTTTAAAACAAAGAAAACCGGAAGACTTCCACAGAAGTCGACTAAGAAACACACACACACACATAAAGTCAATTGCAAAATTAACATCTGCACTGACCAGAAGACTTCCTTGTAAGTCTTCTACATCTAACACGAAAGTCTTCTAACGGACAGATCTGGAAAAAAAATGATTTCATACCTTAAATTCATGAGAAAACTTCCTTAGCACAAAAGTCTTTTCCAAGCACCCAGAACCTGAAACAAAAGAGACCCACCAAGAATCATGAGCTTAAATGGCTCTATAAACCTTAAAAAAATCTAGAAACAAATCTTGGGTTTTTTGGATGAAATAGAGAGAAAGTGAAAGAGATGTTGTTTTTAGTTCATTAGAAATGAGATAGAAAGAGGCAAAATCGATTTTTAGAAGCATTAAGAGCTTCAAATTGGTTGTTCATGGTGGTTGGTGTATTGATAGCACTCACAATATTGTAAATACTTGATGAAGATGAGGATGATTAGTAAAATACTCTCTTTAGAAAAAAATAAAATAAAATCAAAAGTAATGGCATTATCGTGAATAATCTGAAATTTTGGGACGAATAGGGCAAGTCAAAGTTCTAACAAAAACATGGTTAGTTTTGTGTTTGACTTTGAGTTTTGAATCATATTTGCAAGAAACACATAAATACAAGCATTCTACCTCGTTTTTCTATTGTTTTGTTTTCTTAAATAAAAATGTGGATATTAAAAATAAGACTCATAAACTTGAAAGATGCTATTTTCTTTAAAAAAAAAAAATCACCAATACAAGTTAAGATCCTTCATTCATAGAACCAATATGCTATACAATCTGGTGAAACTCTGTATATAATTTATGACTAGATGTTTTCCTGCACCATGACTACGCCATTTTCTGTTTTCCAAGGTCCATGGTTCAATATGTCTTCATATATTGGTATATGTTGACAACCAAGTCGTTCATTGTAAGAATTTAAAGACCTATCTCCAAAGGTGTTTTCGTATGAAGGATCTAGGCAAGCAAAAATATTTTCGGGTGTTGAGGTTTTGTCAAAATGAATGAGGATTCTATCTCTCTCAACGAGCTATGCTCTTGATATTATTTCTGAAGCTGGAATACTTGGTGCTAAATATTTGCCAATTCGAGTTTAGTTAAATCACAAACTAGCTATCGCCAAAGGCCCCTTGGAAAAAGCGCAAAAATATCAACGCCTGGTCGGATGCTTATATACTTACTTAATTTATGGAGAAACCACTCCTAGCTAATTGGGAAGCAGCTTTACATGTGGTTTGATATCTCAAAGGCTGCCCAGGGCAAAGAATATTTCTAAAATCTGATGACAATCTTAAACTCAGTGTTTACTACCATTCAGACTGGTCAGGTTCCTATTACTAGACGTTCTCTTAGTGCTTACATCACATTCCTCGCCGACTAAATGGTTGAATGGAAAACAAAGAAGTAGGACACTGTATCTCTTTCTTTTGCAGAAGCATGGTATCGTGCTATGTTTGTTGCTCTCAAGGATCTTAAATGGATGAAGGTTTTTCGAATCATTTGGCATCTCTCATTCTTCGCCGATGAAGTTCTTATGTGATAGTAAATCCGCAATTCATACCGTTTTTCATGAATGAACGAAGCATAATGAGCGGGATTCTCATCATGTTTGTGATGCTGTTCAGAACCCAAGCTTATCGCCACAAAACATTTTATTGCAAAGAATCAACTTCCAGACATACTAACTAAAGCTTTACCAGGACCTCTTTTCGTAAAAGTATTGTGCAAGCTGGGTGTTCTAAATCTCATACTTCCAACTTAAGGAGAAGTATTAAGATACCTCATAGTTTTGTTTAGATATTGATGTAATAGTTCATAGTCCTTATCAGAATAGGAGACATTCTATGTATTCATTCTATTTCACACTATCTATAACTCTAAACCTTAAAGAATGAGTCTTGACTCAAAACAAAACACTGGCAGAATGAACTAGTTAAAACAGTAACTGTATCAAACTCTACACTGCAGCATTCACAAACAAGTGTATACATACTATTCTACAACCCAAGTGAAAAAAAAAACTCAGAAGTTTGAGAGAGAGAGAGAATTATGGCTCTCTTGATGTGGTCTTCTGTTTCCTACTTGGATCTCTCCTAGTGCAGAAATACACAATCTTGATGTCAGAATACATCTAAAAGCAATTTGGGTGTGGACAAATATCGATTGAAAGTTTTATTATGTAGTGTTTCGATTTCACTTACTTGTTCTGTATAGGACTGTATCGACTCCTTGGGATTCTTCGCAAGCTACCTCCAATAGATTTGTCCATGCTTATCTGCAAATCTCTTTGTCCCTCTGTATGAACCTTGCTGCAAAAGAAAGCTAGCAAAATCAGAAGCAGAGCTACTGTAACCGATCTTGATGGATATAATCTCTTCATTTGTATTTTCTATTTTTGGTCAATTTTCATGAGGAATTTTTGAGTAGAGATGTTTTAATTAATTAAAGAGAAAATAAATTATTATTTGTGGCTAAAAAGAAGAAAAACAAGTTGTAAAAAGAGTAGAGATGTAATGTTCGTGAGACTTTTTGACATCTGATCACGTGAAGTTCTTTCAGATACTGGGATATTTTAATTTTCATCTTAATTTAGTAATTTATGGAACGTTCACTGATCCTCATATTCAAACAAGCACATGCATACACGTTGTATCACCCATGAAAACTATATGTTTATTGTTTATCAAGATTAGTAAGTTCACATGAAGAGGGGAAAAGTTGGAGGTAAACATCAACTGTTGTGTTTTGTCTCTATACTAATTACAACTTTCCCCCATCTACATATTAGGTGATTCACACTTGCATAAGCAAGAATATTATTAATATTTAATAAATTACTAAACTAATGTAACTGGTTAATATTTCTTGCTTATTTGGTTTTAAGTTTGAAGGTAGGTCATAATTTCTAAGAATAAATAATAAATAAATAACTGTTTCAAACGATTTTTCGTTGTTGCCTTAATTAGTTAAGGTATTTTGGGTTGAGCATTTAGATCGGTTTTGTTATCCGCTTTTGGATATATTTGTTTTAAGTTTTATGATCGTTTGTAATTTCTATGAACAAAAAATTAAAATAAATTTTTTTTAACAATTTTCTGTTGTTTTTTTAATTAGCTAAGGTATTTCAGGGTTGAAAATTTGTATTTATTTTATTATCCCTTTTTGATATATTGGATTACATTAATTCTTTTAAATTGAACCACAACTATTTTGTGCAAATCATCATAAAATCGGGATAGTTTATTTATTTATGTTTAGTCAAGTTCTTAGTCATATATTGTAAACATATTTTTGTAAAATTCTGTAAAATGATATTTGTTACTTTAGGAAATACTTAGGAGAAAACTGAATTAATGGTCGATTTGGGATTGTACAAAGAAACCAGTTGGTAATCTTTTGAATATTGTTTGGTTAAGCTTCAATCATTATTGTAGAAAAACTAAGAAGTTTTATATCAGTCGGATTGGTCATCTTTAGTCCATGTCAAATCACAATTATAATCATATTGACTCATTTCTGCCTAAAATTAGACTTGCTAAAGTTGTTGATTAAACTTGTAAATAGACAAAACTTTAATTTAAATGAAATCAATAAAAATATTACTCAATTAAATTTATTTCGTAAATAAACAAATATATTAGTCAAATACTATAGAGTATTTAAATCAATAGACTATCATTAATACTAACTAGATTTTGACCCGCGCAACCGCGCGGGTGTTTGTTTTCGTTTATAGTTATATAAACATTTTGTTTTCACTTGTAAATTGGTATATATTATAGTAATCACATATTTACGATATGTATAGTAAATGTTTTTCAAACATAATAATATTATATAATAAGTGTTTTAATCAAATAGATTGTTTCAAATTTTCTATAT